AAGGCCCATTGCCGTGTTCCTCCATTCTTTATTCCCCTAAGGGGGGCCCAAGGGCCCAAAAACTGAAGTGGTGCCCAGTGTCCAAAAAAAATTTTTAAAAAAAAAAAAAAAAATTTTTTTTTTTTTCAGAATTTTAAAGAGCATATTTTTGTGAAGGGTAATAAGACAAAAAAAAAAAATTCTGATCAGTACTTCCGAGAAAAAGTGCCAAAAGGGGTTTTTCCAAAATGGGTGGGGGTGGTGGCAAATCGACAATTCCCCATTCAAAGCTTTCTTTATTTAGCGGTTTTTGTAGGGTTTTTTTTTTTCTTTTTCCCTTTTTTTTTTCCCTTTTCCCACAACATTTTGGGGGGGAGAGCCCCAAAACTGTATAAATGTAAAATATATAAATCACTGGGTTTTAACACAATAACCCCCACTAAAGTTTTTAACATTTATTGTTTACCACTGTTTTTTATTAAAAATAAACATGCCAAATCTTGTATAATACTAATGTTTTATCATTATTTTTCATATTTTTCAAACACTGGGCATGGTTTTAGAACTGCTGGGGGGCTTTTGGAAATCCTTGGAAAAAAAGGCACCCAAAACACAGAGGCACCTTTTCAATTCCCCACACATAAAAACCCAGTGTCTTTGATCTTTGTTTCCGTCCGTTTTTTTTGTGCACGACAACACATCTCTTCTGAAACAAATTTTTTCCGAGTTGAAGGAAGCTGTATTATGAAAAGATCACCCTTTCCCCCCCCCAAAAAAGCTTGGGTTTATCCTGATGAATTCGAGGACCTTTTTGAAAAAGCAGGGGGTTCTTACCCGGTACTTCATTGTGAGTTTTCTGACAACAGACAAACCCAAAATTCACCATACGGGGGTTGGCTTATTTCCAGTCTTTTATTGGGACAAAAATTTTATGCATTGAGCATCGAAAATGTCCCTGAGAGGGAGAAAAATTTCATGTTTCCCTTGTAAACTCTTACCAAAACAATCAACAAAACCCAAACTGCATGTCCAAAAATTGTCAACCAAAACGCATGTTTTTGTGTATAAAACAATCACTGTCATTGGTTTTCGAATTTCGTTCTTTGTCACTCGATCCAAAATTTTCCAAATGTCTTAAAAATTTCATTACGGTGGAAATGGTTTTTCAACAATGTGACATCTCGTTTTTCCGCCACCCCTAAAAGGGGCCCTGATGTCATTTGGCAATAAAACACTTTCAAAGTATCCCCAAAGAAACAAACCTTGCCGTTTAGCCTTTTGGGGGTATGTTTTGCGATTAGAACGCACTGGCCCACAAAATTGGGCTTGTTCACTCGCAAGCAAAACACGGGGTAAATGGGCTTGTGTACGTTAACCGGTATATAAGTATTCCCCCCTTTCCAAGAAAAAGGTTCCTCATTTTATCCACTACGTCACCCGAGATACCAAAACATTTTTGGAAACTTTTAATATTTTACTTCCCATGTATACAACAATATCCAACACCAAAGGGCCCCTGTCCAAAAGTCACAGAGTACAAACAGTTTTTTTACCAAAACGTTTCCCCTTGCTTTGGTTTTATACTGCATGGGTGGGCAGTCTACTTTTAACAAAAACAAAGACCGGTTTAATTACAAAATTCTTGAAAGGATAAAAGTTATGTGAACTTTTGTTTTAAAATACATGAAAACATTTCAATCTTGTATAACCTGTCACTTCTGTGGGGGGAAATTTTTTTAGAGAAGTGCAAAAATACATAACAGTAAAATAAAACCCGTTCACTGGGGGTGAAATTTTACTGAAGACCCCCGGGGGAGAAATTAGCCGATCTGTGGACCCCGTGTGGGTTTTTAAATTTTCCTTTTGACATGAGGGATAAGCATTTTTGTTGCAAAAAGCAAATACATTTCTGAACAGTTTGTCTCTTTCCCCCCTGTGTTTTGACGGGTAATGATGTATTTGCCTGGTGTACTCAAAATATTAATTTCTTTCCCTGACAATAGTCTCCCCTCAAAAAGGGCTGGTCAAAGAATAATTAAAAGAATTCCAGTTCATTTTTCCCCTGGGTTTCCCAAGGGGGGTAAGTAAAGGTAAATTTCCCACTTTTAAAGTCAACAAAGTGGTGGGGCTTGGGAACAAAAATTTGGGGGTTTTTTGCCAATCCAGACACTTTTGCGGGGGATACTGTACATCATAGGGGTTGTGCGGGTGGTTTGGGTTGTGGGGGGCTGGTGGGGTGACGCCCGCTTTGTCCTTGAATGAGTCAGCAGCGTGGATCCCCGCCCCGGGGGTGAGTCACGCTGGCGGTGCCATACCATCACCCTCACTGATGCCTGTGGTCAAACCATGCCCCAAATGTAGCCACATTTATCCCCCACTATCACTATCTAAAAACCTGGGTAAAGGGCCACGGGATTTACTCCGGGAAAGTAACCCCCGGCCCCCCGGGACAGCATAGGGTACACTACCCGAGAGCTTGGGGGCCCGGGGCACATACCCACGGGTTTGCTGGTGAATATGATTCCTCACTATCATACTCGAATGAAACATCAAGCGGCCCAAAAAAATCAAATCCCCTGTCCTACATCTCATTTTCTGGGAAATCAGAAAGGGCCCGGCCACGCAAAAAAAAAAGTTTTCTCTTGCGTTGAGGTACAACCCCATGTGAGTCAAAGAGTGCCCACAACCCAAAGGAAAAAGGTTTAGGTCGTCGGGTTTTTTGCACTATTAAAACGATATCCTGGTCATTTTCCCTTTTAGCACTAACTGAAACAAAGCCCTAGAATTTGCTTTTATTTTCCCCTTTCATCATGTCCGGAAATATCAGAAAGGAAGAGGAGGTCCAAATTTTCCCCTTTGGGGTGGGGCTGACTTGCGCCCAGGGATGGTTTAACCCAAAGGGTTAAATGAGCCCCGGGGCCACCAATTTCTATGCGGGGACCTAGATTTTTTGTTTTTGGGGCAAAAACCCCCCCACAGACCCTTTCTCTCACAAAGTTTGGGCCCCATGGCGCTTTCCCCGCTAAAATTTGACAGCGTAGAATTTTGGCGTAGATCTACGGTTTTTGGGCACTCAACGTGAAAACCGGATTATGGGACGGACCCTGAAAGGGTTAAGGGCACAGTATAACCACTATACTAACCCCGTTTCGTTAAAAAATTTTCTAAGGTTCGACCTTTCGTCCATTTAAATTCAACCCGGGGGTCGGGAAAAAGTCAAATCATAAATTAGATGGGAGGTGTAAAATACATATTATAAATTTGTTGTACTTTTATAATTTTAATAAAATTTTAAATTTAGGGAATGGAGCACGATCCAATTTCCCCAGATCAAGTGCCCTTCACCAAGGAACCCCCCCTTTAGGGGAAAGGAAAACCTAAAGTTTCTTTTGTATTCAGAAGCAAAAAATTGACCGAAAAACGGTTTTAAATCCTGAAAAACGCATGATGAGCGTTCGTAAGCCAAGGTTTCCCTTGGGATATACCCCAAAATTTTTATGCGTTTTATGCTTGTTCATGGGGTTTAATAGGCTAAGGAAGCAGTATTGTTTTGGCTTTAAATAAAAAGCTATTTTATATTTTCCCCACAAAGTATTTTCCCCCTCAAAACATTTGCGAACACTACAAACATATTTGAGACCCAAAAATTTCGAAAATTTTTTAAGATTTACAAGGTTCTTGATCCCCTAACCCTCCCGGGAAAGAGGAGGGTCCTGTTAAAAAAAAGAGAGAGAGAGGAGAGAGAGAGAGAGAGAGGAGAGGGGAGAGAGAGAGAGAGAGAGAGAGAGAGAGATAGATAGATAGAGATAAGAGATAGAGAGAGTTTGATAGAGAGAGAGAGATAGAGAGAGATAGAGAGAGATAGAGATAGAGATAGAGAGAGAGATAGAGATAGATAGGGAAGAGATAGAGGAGATAGATAGAGAGAGATAGATAAGAGAGAGATAGAAGAGATAGAGATAGAGAGAGAGATAGAGAGAGAGATAGATAGAGATAGAGATAGAGAGATAGATAGAGAGATAGAGAATATGGAAAGAACTGAAAAAACAGACCCAGGGGTACCACAGACACAAGAGAACCATAATTTAAGACTATTCAACCTGCTACCAGCAGATATCAAAAATTTCCAGAACATGCGTAAAGGTTTTCAGGAAGAAGCTAAGAGCTAGATCAACCAGGCTGTGATGGCTTAGTGGGACAGCAGCAGTTTAATGGAATAGGTAATCAATAGAAAGTCTGGCCCCAGGCCAGGCTGTGAGGTAGGATAAAACTCAAAAAACAGGTTAAAAAGTAGAAAAATTTAGACACATGGCAACACTTGGGTATCTTTATTGAGGAAGCATTTTGCCACACAGTGGCCATTTATCTACATTCCTGTCAGACACAGCAACATCTTGGGATCTTAATACAGGGAATTCTCTACCTGCCTAACCTTTAGGCATGACCTACTTTCACATTTGAATTTGTCATGTGTGATATCACCTACAACTGCTTCACATCACCTGTCTACAGTATATAAGCCACTTCTTCGCACATATGCTGTATTCTTTTCAAGATTGATGGACTGATTACATCGACTCAAGGCTGAGGGACTGATTACCTCAAACTCCACCTGTTCTTCACCATTCTCCTTTGTATGGACTGATGAAGCCACTGTGGCAAAACGTTTCCTCAATAAAGATACCCAAGTGTTGCACATGTGTCTAATTTATCAACTTGTCGGTTCTCTGAACCATTTATCTATAGGTTACAAATAGCTTCCAATATCCTGAGCTATTCTAATTCCCACAGTTTAGAAAATTAAATTTTCAACTGCCTACATAATAAATAAATTATGAACACGTGCATTACATCAGGTGAATTTTTACCCCTGACAAATACAAAATGAGCCACCCTGCCTCAGTGGGATATGACTAGTTTGTTGAAAGCAGAAATACAAAATGAATATACCTCAAGAAAATATTAAACATAGTATAATGTAATAAAATATTAATGTAAAGCGTTATGGAGGATATATTTACATTTAAGAATGGGTTGTCTACTTCCAAGTACTTCGAGATGACATATAAACAAAACAAATGACGATCAATGCCTTTGCCACACATTGCATCTCGATATGCATTCTGGTGCTGGATACACGCCTTCTTCAATAGTGCAACACGCTCCTCATTCTGAAATAATTAAAACATTACCATAAGTTTTTATTGAAAAAAAATAGAACAAATGTTGCACTGACAGCAATGTACTATATATGAATGAATGTATGAGAGTATAATGGTACCAACACTCCTATATGGGTGTGAAGGTTGCAGAAATGAGGAGTGAGGATGTCGTATCTGAGGGTAATGTGTAGTTTAAACATTATGCAGAGAATTCATAGTTTGGAGATTAGGAGGAGGTGCAGTTATTAAAAGTGTACTCACTCACTCAGTGTGTGTTCTTCTTATTGTCCTGCCCTTGGGTACTTTTTGTTGATTAAAGACTTTGGGCATAGGCTTCAGTTTGAAATCTTCAGAGCCATTGGCACCCAACAGACTAAACCTATCATTCACAAGCTTATGACCAGGCAAAGTGGCCCCTTTGTGATGAATGCTCACCTGGGCATTCTTTTCCAAAAGAGCCCTGTTTAGTTCACATTAAACTCTTGAGGAAGATAACCCTCTGCTGTAACAAGCTCTTCTAAATGAAGCTGAAAAGCTTCAGTGACTTCCTTACTGACACTAGAAGCCTCATCATGTCTCGACACTTTTAATGCTGGCCCTTTTCTTGAAACTCTTGAACCACTCTTTGCTATTTTTAAAATCATCTGGAGTAGCATCACTACTTGAGGGTAAATGGCATTTTAAAATATTGTAAATTTGTTTCGCACACTTAAAGAAAAAACTTGCTGGCATATTCTCCCCCATCATCTGCTTCCCTTATCCACAATAACATCAATCTTTTTGTCTCTATGATAATTTCTCTGCCTTTTTTCACTAGTTTAGATCTGTCAGCCACTTTAATATTCTTTATAATTTCTTTTTTGCTTGATAATACTTTAGTAGAGACAGTTTATCATGGAGCGCCATGCTCACGCATCATTGCACAAATTCAACTCAATCGTTTTTTCACAATTTTTTGCTTGATCTTAAGAGAAATTACCTGTTTACTGTACACTTTAGGGCCTTGATAACTTAGTAATACAAAAGATGGCATAATTAACTTACAAATAAAGCTATGAATGGTCAATAATCCAGATTTGATGCTGGGAACACACATGGTAACTTCAAACTGAAGAAGAAACAAATTATAGTACAAACTCTGCTACTGGCTGAGATGCTACTGTAGAGACATTCATTCCTATTGCTGAATGGTTGCTATGCCACCCCCACACACCCTCATCATATCACTGGTTGGTTAATGCCCACCCACATAATAACTGATGCTCCTATTGGCTCAGATGCCCCCAAAATGCAAGCTACCCCATCTCTGGTTGGTTGAGCCCCACTAACATGCACCAACCATTATATGTATACCATATAACTCAAAATTATTGTAACCCAAACCAATGGTAATTCAAGGAACCACTGTATTTGATCAAGTCAAGAAATATATGTTCTAGGTAGTAGGTTGGTAGACAGCAACCGCCCAGGGAGGTACTACCGTCCTGCCAAGTGAGTGTAAAACAAAAGCCTGTAATTGTTTTACATGATGGTAGGATTGCTGGTGTCCTTTTTTCTGTCTCATAAACATGCAAGATTTCAGGTACGTCTTGCTACTTCTACTTACACTTAGGTCACACTACACATACATGTACAAGCATATATATGTACAGTGGACCCCGAGATAACGATCAGCTCCCAACTCGACCAATTATGTAAGTTTATTTTTGTAAGTGCTTTTGTAGGTGTATTTTTAGGGGTCTGAAAAGGACTAATCTAATTCACAATATTTCTTATGGGAACAAATTCGGTCTATAACGGCACCCAAACAGACTTCTGGATTGAAATAATATCGTTATGCGGGGGTCCACTGTATATACATGTATACACATCCCTCTGAGTTTTCTTCTATTTTCTTTCTAGTTCTTGTTCTTGTTTATTTCCTCTTATCTCCATGGGGGAAGTGGAACAGAATTCTTCCTCCGTAAGCCATGCGTGTTGTAAGAGGCGACTAAAATGCCGGGAGCAAGGGGCTAGTAACCCCTTCTCCCGTATAAATTACTAAATTTAAAAAGAGAAACTTTCGTTTTTCTTTTTGGGCCACCCTGCCTTGGTGGGATACGGCCGGTTTGTTAAAAAAAAAATATACATATATATATATGTGGATTATTTTTCTTATTTGGTATTATCTATTAATTAGCATTTTTTTTTTCAACGAACTGGCCATATCCCACTAAGGTTGGGTGGCCTAAAAAGAAAAACAAAAGTTTTTCTTTTTAAATTTAGTAATTTATACAGAAGGGGTTACTAGCCTCTTGCTCCCAGCATTTTAGTCACCTCTTATGACATGCATGGCTTATGGAGGAAGATTTCTTTTCCACTTCCCATGAAGATAAGAGAAAATAAAGAACAAGAACTATCAAGCAAATAGAAGAAAACCCAGATGTGTGTATAAATATGTGTGTACATGCATGTGTAGTGTGACCTAAGTGGAAGTAGAAGACATATCTGTTATCCTGCATGTTTATAAAACAGAAAAAAGACATCAGCAATCCTACCATCATGTAAAACAATTACAGGTTTCTGTTTTACACTCACTTGGCAGGATGGTAGTACCTCCCTGGGCAGTTGCTGTCTACCAACCTACTACCTAGGATTTAGTATTGTGGAAATTATTTAATTTCCGAAGCTATAGTACCTAATAAGTGTTTAATGTGTTGATTTGGGTCAAAATGTATTTGTATGTTGAATGGAACCAACTGGGTTCCCGCTGCTCCTGCGCAGATGTGCGCAGGGGGTATAGGTCGAGCTGGGGCACGAGGGGGCGGCAGTGTTTTGAATGTAGTGAGGAAGCTGTGAAACATGGGATCAGGAAATTGGCGTTCACGGCAGCCTAAGGATTAATACGTATAGGCCTCACTTCCTAATAGGAAGTGTCGTAATTGTTCCTGGTGAAGAGTGAGGGAACGAGATTTACGTGACCACCGCGATAAAGTGGTAAAATAGTGGATAAAGTAGGACCGGGGTGACGGGTGCGGGCCCCCATGGAATGT